TTCAAACTTCTTAGAAAGGGTCAATCAACCATAGCTTCAATCTTAGACTGATACACTGCTACCTCTATTCTGGTTACCACATCTCTCGGTTACTCCACCTGCCACTATACAAAAGAACATTTCTTCAAGTTGAAATACAATCGTTGCTCTCTCAACGTCTCTAAGACTGTTTTTAGGTACCCCACATGCTCTGTCTTTATACAACTGTAGATCAAAATGTCATCAAAGAAGACCACGACAAATTACCGGAGGTAAGGTTAGAAAACCTTATTCATGAAGGACTAAAATGTCATCGGGGCGTTGGTGAGACCAAACGGCATCACTAAGAACTCATAGTGTCATTCATGTGTCTTGAACGCTATCTTGTGCATATCTGTTGGATTCATCCTGATTTAGTGGTATCCCGACTTGAGATCAATTTTTGAGAAAATGACTGCTTCATAAAGCACATCAGTAACTCATAGATCACAGGAATACAAAACTTGTCTGTCACCGTTTCTCCTTGTTTAAAGTTTGGCAATCCACTCAGGATCTCCAACTACCATGTTTTTTTCTTCACCAACAAAATAGACTGGAAAAAGGGCTCACACTAGGCCTATTAATCCAGGCCCCAAGCATCTTTTGGATCAGCTTCTCTATCTCATCCTTTTGAATTTGGGTACCTGTATAGTCTAACAATGATGGGGAAACACCCTGCTTAAATGTAATAGCGTGCTCGTGCTCCCTCGAAGAAGGTAATCAACTTGGTTGTTGGAAGACATTTGTAAATCGTTCAGAAAACTTTGTCAACTCTGAATCTCCAATCTCTTCAATGCTCTGCAACTCCACCAAGTAGTTCAGTCCTGCTCCCCGAATCGATGTCATTCGTGTGTCTTGAATGTTATCTTATGCATATCTGTTGGATTCATCCTGATTTAGTGGTATCCCGACTTGAGATCAATTTTTGAGAAAATGACTGTTTCATAAAGCACATCAGTAACTCATACATAGCAGGAATAGGAAACTTGTTTGTCACCGTGTCTCCTTGTTTAAAGTTTGGCAATCCACTCAGGATCTCCAACTACCATGTTTTTTCTTCACCAACAAAATGGGACTGGAAAAAGAGCTCACACTAGGTCTATTAATCCAGGCCCCAAGCATCTTTTGGATTAGCTTCTCTATCTCATTCTTTTGAATTTGGGGTACCTGTATAGTCTAACAATGATGGGGAAACACCCTGCTTAAATGTAATAGCTTGCTCGTGCTCCCTCGAAGAAGTTAATCAACTTGGTTGTTGGAAGACATCTGTAAATCGTTCAGAAAATTTTGTCAACTCTGAATCTTCAATCTCTTAAATGCTCTGTAACTCCACCAAGTAGTTCAGTCCTGCTCCCGTGTCATTCATGTGTCTTGAACGCTATCTTGTGCACATCTGTTGGATTCATCCTAATTTAGTGACATCCCGACTTAAGATCAATTTTTTAAAAAATGGCTGCTTCATAAAGCACATTAACTCATAGATCACAGGAATAGGAAACTTTTCTGTCGTCGTGTCTCCTTGTTTAAAGTTTGGCAATCCACTCAGGATCTCCAACTACCATGTTTTTTTCTTCACCAACAAAATAGACTGGAAAAAGGGCTCACACTAGGCCTATTAATCCAGGCCCCAAGCATCTTTTGGATTAGCTTCTCTATCTCATTCTTTTGAATTTGGGGTACCTGTATAGTCTAACAATGATGGGGAAACACCCTGCTTAAATGTAATAGCTTGCTCGTGCTCCCTCGAAGAAGTTAATCAACTTGGTTGTTGGAAGACATTTGTAAATCGTTCAGAAAACTTTGTCAACTCTAAATCTCCAATCTCTTCAATGCTTTGCAACTCCACCAAGTAGTTCAGTCCCGCTCCCCGAATCAATTTGACCATGGTTTTAAGTGACTATGATTTTGTATAAACTAGCATTTCCTCTCATACTCATCTTCAAACCATCCACTTGGAACTCCATCATCAAGAACTTCCAATCCACTTTCATGCCTCCCAATGTTCGCATCTACTTCATCCCAAGATCACAGCTATGCTACTCAAATCTAAATGAAGGAAATCTCCCACCACCCGTAAGCCATGTAGCATCAGACCCAACTCCTTGAAATTTTCTCCACCTTTTCTATTCCAATCATGATGTTGAAGCTCCCTATAGTCACCGACTTCAACCCTAGCTTCTCCACAACCTGATTTGAGATAAAGTTATTTGTGGCCCCGCTATCAACCAACATCATAATCGGTTGTTCCCGGATCCATCCCCATGTCTTCATGGTGTGAGTCAGGGTAAATCTCATTATCAAATTGAGGGACACCTCCGTTACATACAAATGCAGATGGTCCTCCTCCACCACTTCTTTTGTTCCTCCTGAACTAAGAGAATCTGAATGGGGCGCTCCTTGCAACGGTGTCCTGGGGCGTATTTCTCGTCACAACGGTAACACAATCCTTCTGCTCTTTTATCCTGCACTTTTGAGTCTGTGAGGCGCTTGAAACTTCCCCGGGACGGCCTCCTGTGCTCATCTCCTTTGGCGTCTCTTTCAAAAAAGACACTGTCTAGGTCCTCAGTGTCATGGTTGTCAGGTGCTCTTGTAGAGTTCACTGGTATTGCCGCCTTTGCTGGTCTTCTACACCTCTTTCTTATGATTCATCAACTAGGTGAGCTCCTTTATTTCCTTCAATCCTCGCGGTCTCAAGGGGAGGATGGCTGCTCATATGTCGAGCTTTAGGCCTTTTAAAAATTTCTCTTCCAGTCTTACTACAGAAATCCCCCTCAAACTCCTTGAAAAGAGTTCAAACTTCTCTCAATATACCCCTCAACGTCCCCTCCTGAGTCAAAGCATAGAATTGTTCGTGTAGGTATCCTTCTCAAATAGCTCGGAAACACTCCAACAAGCAATCATTAAATTCTTCCCCTGAGTGTATCGAATATCTTGCTTTCATCAACTGGAACCACGCTAAAGCCTTCCCTTTCGAGCATAATACCGTTGTCATGAGCTTCTGTTCCACAGTAAACCCGTTGATTACAAAGTATCACTCCACCCGATACACACATCCATGTGCATCATCCCTTTCGAAGATTGGCATCTTCAGCATCCTGACCCTTACATCTTTATCCCAACTTTTTCTTCTTCTGGTATTTCCCCCCATTAGTCTAAGGTGGAACTCTCTCATTCGGTCATAGGCATATTCCACTCCTAAATCCCTCTTTCCTCCATCGTGCTCTTTCATGCCCCTTACACCATCCCTCCTCCAATTTTCGGCCCATCCCCCTCCGTATAAAGTCTCCACTCCCACTCCTTTTGGAGTCGTGGGGGGACCCTCTTGTAGGTAGATTAAGTTTTCTTTGTTATCCTCTCACTATAGATTGCCTTCACTTTTGACCTAGCCAAGGATTTTTTGATTGACCCTAAATTAAGATTTGTAACTGGAGCAATAGGCACGGCCTTGGCTTGCATCTCCATGAGCTTTTTCATCATCTCCCGCATTTCTCCTATGCTTTTAAATCCATCTTCCATCTGGCTTTCAATAGAATAAAATATATACTCCATAGTGTCAAACCTCTCTTCCATTCCTGAACTGATTTGTCCTACCTCTCATTCTAGTACATTCAATTTCTTTGATGTCATCTCACCAACATCTAGGCTTTTATGCCAATTTGATACGCCTCGGCACCAAAATCAGCAAACAACAACAGCAAAATGACTATTGATAGATAGAAATAAGTTAAATAAGGTTGTTCTTACAAAAAAAACAAATGCGAACATGCAAGATACAAAATATGATTTACTTTCGAGAGGTAGATCGGCTCTCACACACCTTAGACGTCACTAAGAACACCATCAAAAGAAGAAAATACAGCAGCCAACAAAATAATGCATAAAGAAAGCAAACCCTAGATTCTCCCCCTGATAGAATCCCCTCACAACATTTCAAAAACTTTTCTTCCTGACTTTCCCTCCAAACTCCCTTAATTTATCCTTCTTGCATAGGTGATTATGGCCCTAATGGAACCAGCAAGCAACAACAACAAAATGATGATAGATGATGGAAATAAGTCAAATAAGGGTTGCTCTTACGAAAAACAAATGCAAATAAGCATGGTGCAAAAGATGATCTACTATCGAGAGGTAGATCGGCTCTCCCGCACCCTAAACATCACTAGGAACACCAAAAAATGATAACACAGCAGCCAACAAAATGATGCATAAAGAAAACAAACCCTACGTCTCCCCCTAATAAAATCCCCTCATAGTATTTCAAAAAAATTTCTTCCTAACTCACCCTCCAAATTCTCTCAATTTCTCCTCCTTGCATAGGTGATCATGGGCCTAGTGGACCCCACCCTTTCCTCTCCTTCTGCGGCTCCCCTTGTCTGCTCTGTTTCTTCTCCTCCTTCTGCGGCTCCCCTTGTCTGCTCTGTTTCTTCTCGTTGCCAGGACAGGCCAGCCTGTGGACCGATTATAATGCTTCCAGCCGATTATAACACTTCCAACCGGTCTAGGGTGGACCGTGCCGTGTATGGGAGTAACACAATTCATACAAGTTTAAAACCGATCAAGAAAAATGAGAAACAGCAAGAATTATTCATACTGGCCCGGAAAATTATAGTTCCCATCTGACCATAAACTGTTGTTTCTTTTCATGGTATAAGAAAGCACTCTGAGTGCTCTACATTTCAAAAAAGTATTAAGCAAAGAATCAACCGGTGTGAGGGAGCTGGAAGATATGCAACTACTATAGTCCTTCTGAATATAGCATGCAAGCGTAATTGGCGGTCCAAGGTTTGTATAAAACATAACAAAAAAATGTTGATTTCTCTCTTCTTATAAAAAAAATAAAAATAGAAAACTTCTTCTTAGATTCCACTCATAACAAAACGCAGTGCATCCACAAAAGCAATCACGTAACAAAACCTAGAATTAAAGAAGGATCAAACTCTTAATGAACAGAACTGTGTCCTCGTATTTAAAATAAACCTTGCCTTGGTAGACGACTGCGGCATAGTCTTCCCCCTAGCAGCAAACCCTAGAAGAAGCCGACGGAAAAAGCCAATGGACTCAACGGGAACCGAGGCTACGACTATCGGCAGAGTCGCCGCAACCCAAGCGACACGCAGCAGAGGCATCATCCCAAACTCCATCAGAGCATGAACTGTGGCCATTGAGTTGCTCAGGAGCAGCAGAGGAGCTGAAAGAGAGACTAAATCCCAACCCCAATAAAAAGGAATACAAGTTCTGTGGGGTTCCACGAAAAGCAGCGTGAGCTCAAAGAAATACCAGTCGTAAGCAATAAGTTTCAGCGGCCTATTGGATTACCGGTCGGGTTCTCAGACGCGCAATAGCTGTACGGATTGATGAAAAAGATATGGTTCCGGCCGAACTGAGCTGCGACGTCGGAGGAGAAAGCCAAGATGGAGAGGCGAACGAGAGCGGAAAAGATGATATTGGAAGCGCAATGGGAGAGCGGGAAGGAAGAGTGGCAACTCAGCATTGGGCTCTAGAAACTCGGAGAGGTGTTAGCGGCATAAAATCTGTGATAATGAAGAAGAAAACGAGAAAAGGAGGACACGGCGAAGATAAATTGAAGGCATCGGATTTGTCGCCGAGGAGAACTTGCGATCAAAGAGCGCCGGTCATGAAGAGTTTTGGAGGATCAGTAGCAAAAGAAGGCGAGGATCGCGGAGAGGGACGATTTTGCTTCTGCTGGAGGTTCGGGTTGAGCTTCTGTGAAGAAGGTAAACCGGACAGTCACTAGTGATATTGGATCGTAAATTGTAATTTTACATTATTAAAAAAAAAATGTTTTGGGTCATGTACATTTTTTTTAAGTTCATGCCTAAAATTTTAGGGGCATATACATACATGTGACTCAATTCGTATGTATTTATATATCTCATATTTAAACTTTTTTAATTTACATGTATATAATACTAAAATCTTTAATATCACCTAAAAAAATTATTATTATCAAATTTTGTGCATATGTTTAAGACACCGAAAGGTTACGTAAATAGATATAAAAGTTTAGATTTAAGATATGTTAATATATAAGAACTTAGTGCTAGGTATATATTTTTCTAATTTTTAAATCTTAAGCCATCTAGTAACCTATTAACAATGTTTCAAGTTCTCGTCATTGTTATTATAGTTGGGCCTTGTGTAAGTTGAACGAAACCGCAACTAAAATTACGTGAATTGCAATATTCATTTTATCTCTTTCACGATCAAGTGTTTGATATGAACTTCATCTGTGTTAGTTAGGATTAACCTTTGAGTAGATAACGACTCCTTAGAGATTCCACAAAATCACATAAAGGAAATGAACGCAAAAGGTGAGTAAATATTCTCCCTCTTTTTTTTCACCTTTAAATATTTACCTAGATGTTGATTAATTTGTCTTATCATCGACTCCTCTATAACCTAACATAAACATGATATTTATATTATCAAATTTTAAATTAATTATTATTTAATTAGTTAACTTTACATTATTCATTAAAATGGCGTCTCCTTCTCCCGTATATGGTGAAACCTAGCACATCTGTTATGGCGTTTTCTCACATTGTCGCGCTTGAAGGTTTCGCGCCTTGACTCCTCTGGCCTGTTTCGTAGCGCTTCGTTGTGTTGTGTCTGCCTCGATGTTTTCCTTCGTCGTCGTCGTCATTTGAAGGACGATTTCTGAGCGCGGCCTCGTCTCGTCCTTCCTCGTTCCCGAAGCAGAAAGTTTTGCACCTTCTCATTTTGGATGCTCATTGAAGGAAGTTTGCACTATTCGTCCTCTGCTCGACTTTAAAAGGGTTTCCGTTGATCCTCCTTCAGTTTTGCTCTTTCTTTCACTATAACTTCATTGTTCATAACGTCGCGCCTCCTTCTATTGTTGATGGATTCGGACAGAATGTACGTTGCTGCCCTTGCGGGTGTCCACGCATAAAGTACTCCTAAATCGTGCTCATTTCCTTCTTCATTTGCGTCAAAAAACCTGGTAGGAAGAATGGGAAGTCATCTATCTTTTTTACAGAAGTTGAATGTAATCAGATTGCTTCCTTCTGTTATCTGAATTGGTCAAGAAATTTTTTTATGGTCATCCCAAATGGAGCTTATTCATAAGAAATTTGAGCTTATGCACCTTGTTGGGGAGTGAAAAATTGGACTTTTAGATGGAAGACACATCCTTATTCAAATTAATAATGAAGAAGATTACACACGCTTATTTGCCAGAAGATTAATTTGAATTAATAACAGAGCAATGAAGATTTTGAAATGGTCGGTGAATTTTGACCCACAGACTGAACCACCAATCATTTTTGCCTGAAATTTCATTATTTTACTCAATAAGTGTTGTATTTTATTGTCGCAGCCTATGGTAAGTCACTCAAACGGACATTCCTACATTTCGTATTTTCCATCCCTCTGAAGCCAGGGTACTTGTTGAAAGGGATATCACTTCAATCACTAATGAGAAAATTTGGTTAGGCACTGTCGGCACTATTTTTGGTGTGGGGTTTGTCCGTTGAGTCTTTCCCTTCATATTGCTTAAATTTTTGTATATTCGGTCACTCCATTTCTCAATGTCACTATCTACACCCCCATTTAAGACCAAATAAGCAAAATGCTCAGCCAGATGCAGTGATTCCCCCTTCTTCTAATCTGCTCCAAGTAATTGACATTATTGATCATCATAAGGATACTCTTGAAGATGTCACTATCCTTGTGAACATTATGTCAATCATTCAACCTCTACACAATCCTCCTATGGAACCTCTTTTCATGGGGTTAGGTGAGACATTTCATACTTCTCTTGCCCTAGAACCTATCATCGATATAATGGGTGGCAATATTTCTACTGTGTTTTTATCGCCTCATTAGATCGAGCAAGTTGTTACTGTTAGTCAGGCACGGGCACATGGGGCTCATGATGTGCAATAGCCTAGATCTATCTAACAATCTTTGGAACAATCCACTGATCATATGAGCCAATTTTTTGATGAGGAATGACATGTTTATACATCTATGAAGAAGAAGAAGAAGAAGAATGGAGGCTTCTACCAAACTTGATGGATGATACATTGGTTGTTTCGGGTAATGACAGCAAACTTAACAGTTTGTTAGTTGGCTCCTGTCTTAGAACCAGAGGCAGAGACACGGCTAAATTGGATCATTCACAAGCTGATTGAATTTGCAAGTGTTGGCAAACTTTTGGTATAAAATTTCTACGTCTACATTTTAATCTTGGTTTTTTGGGTATACATGTATTTCTTACGTGTGTATTGTATGTCGGGTGGTTAGGGTGCCAATTTGAGTCCTTTCATCCAACCTATCTGTACCTTTCCTTTTTATTAATATATTCGCTTTTGGACTTTTCCAAATGAGGCAGCCCAAAATAAAAGAAGAAGACTTAGAAGCTTTTGAGGGTGTGGCGTGAGAGAGAGAGAAAGGGGCGTGAGTTAGAGATAGAGAGAGGAGGAGATTATCTTCTAGGGGTGTAAGAAGAGAGGGAATGTGAGAGATTTCTTCTTTATTACACTTTTAAGAGAGATATGAGAGTGATTGTAAAGAGAGAAAGGCTTATAGAGAACTTCTAGGGATTTGTTTGGGAAGGATTGTGAGATAAGTTGTATTTTTATTTCTTTTGTTTTGTAAATTTATTTTTATATATCAAATCCGTATTTTATCGTATCCTTCTCATGAATTATGAGTAGTCTTTTTTATCATTTTCCCTACTTTGAGATATAGTTTTGTGAAGAATATTTTTTATGGCTTTAAATGTTAATAATTATTATGATTTAAACTCCGATCTTCATTTACTTTTTGATCTGACTAATTGAAATGTAAATACTTGTTGATAGAAATATGTTCTTAAATGATATATGATTTTTATAGCATGGAGAAAATCACATTTGATTTCATGGGAGAGTATGTTATTCATGGGATTGGGTGCAAATAAATAATGAAATATACTTTGTTGGATGCAGAATTGAAGATTTTAAGGTGACTGATTAAAATATCTAATTTGGTCTAGTTGATTGGAAACTAATGCGAGATTATTAGCCCTCAGGGGAGGGAGTTGTGGGAGCTCTGTGGGAGCTCTAGAGCCGGTATTCTCCCAGCCTAACCATGGAATTAGGGACCAAACTCTAGATTAGTCAATGTTCTTTATAGCACTCGGAAGTGGGTAAATAATAGGATTGCTCCTATTTGGCACAAAACAATTTTTATATATATTTTCAAATGATTTCAATTTCTTCATAAATCATATACTCATTGTAAATGGGAAGGATGCTTTCTTAAATTTGAACATTCCATCACAACAAAAAACATTTTTTAATGTTCGTAATTTTACATTTGAAAGTTTAGTATTTAGTTTAGTTTAACTTTTATAGTCTTACATCTGCATTTTAATTAGTATTCACTTGACTGGTTACTTTTCAAACTTTGCACTTTACTTTTACTTTTGTTTTTTGTTTTTGTTTCATAATTTACTTTAAGATTTTCCAACTTCCCTGGTTACTTTTCAAACTTTGCACTTTACTTTTACTTTTGTTTTTTGTTTTTGTTTCATAATTTACTTTAAGATTTTCCAACTTCCCTGTGGGATCGATATATAGGACTCCATTAGAGCCCTTTATTACTTGAGTGAAATGTATACTTGCATTGATTTTAAAGGGGATTTGACAGTTTAAAAAGAGTTTTAAGAGATAAATTATTTACATAAAGAGTATTTTGATTGAGATTATATTGCATATTTATGATATATCTGTCGTGTGTAATTTTGTAATATTGAAAAATATTTGCAAATTTTCACACTAATTCGCCCCGCCATCATGTTTTTGGCGCCGTTGTCGGGGAAGTAACGGAAAATATTAGTATTTTATTTTTATTTTATTTCAAAATAATAGAAAATATAAAAAAAAAGAGTGTTTGTATTTTTGTTTGAATATTTTCTTATTTAAGTGTGTTTACTTGCCTTTTATTTTTTGCTTTATTTTTGTTTATGCGTATTTAGTTTGTTTATGCGTAGTGTAAGATCAGAAAATTTAGGTACTTTATGATTCTCGCGATTCTGAGTTAGAAAGAATTGTTTAAAAAATTTGAAAATAATAAAAAGAGAAAGATGATTTTAGCAAAATGGCTTGCAATTTAAACAATGGTGGAAATGAAAATGACATCATCAGAGACCTTTTAGTGATTATGTTAATCCTACAATTGATGAAATTCATTTGAGTATACAAAACCCTTATGTAGTTGTCAATTCATTTGAGCTTAAACATGTTATTATCCAAATGGTTTAAAACAATCAATTTGGAGGAACACCTACTGAATATCCTAATTTACACCTTTCTAGTTTTCTAGAATTGTGTGCTACATTTAAATATGATGGAGTGTCGAATGATGTTGTCAGGCTTAGACTTTTTACTTTTTCACTAAGGGATAAAGCTAAGATATGGTTAAACTCATTATGAATTTATAAGAACGTGGAGAGATTTATCACCAAAATTCTTATCTAAATCTTTCTCACCTTCACAAATTGCTACGATCAAAAATTGCTAAGATTAGAAATGATATCATATCTTTTTTATAGTTTGAAGGGGAATCGATATATGAAGCTTGGGAAAGGTTTAAGGATCTTGTTAGAAATAGTCCACACCATGCTTTGCTAGATTGCACCATGCGTTGTCAGATAGGTTAATAATTCAAACTTTTATAATGGGTTGGTTGGGTCAATTAGATTGA